ATCTAATATATATATTCATTAATGTATAGGCCTATATAATAATTAATAGATTTCTGCCCGTTCCTGTAAATCGTCGAACCCCTAGTCACGGCATTTCGGTGATGTTTTCTGCACCAAATCGCATATTTCCAGATAGAATGTGACATATAGAAGTAAATAACTGTGACATTTCACAGTAATAAAGAAGTATTCGGTTCATAACTGGGTCGTATGGGGTAGTATTGGGTGGTATGGGCACGGACTTAGATCTAATCTAATTCCGTGGTATGGGGTAGTATTGGGTCATAGTCATGGCAATTCGGTGATGTTTTCGGCACCAAATCGCATATTTCCCGATAAAATATGGCAGATGGATGTAAATAACGTCTACAAAGGTGATATTTCACAGTAATTAAGAAGTATTTGGTTCATAATGGGGTCGTATGGGGTAGTATTGGGTAGTATTGGGTGAAATTGGGTAGTATTGGGTCATAGTCACGGCAATTCGGTGATGTTTTCGGCACCAAATCGCATATTTTCCGATAAAATATGACAGATGGAAGTAATTAACGTCTACAAAGGTGATATTTCACATTAATAAAGAAGTATTTGGTTCATAACTGGGTAGTATGGGGTAGTATTGGGTGGTATTGGGTGGTATTGGGTAGTATTGAGTAGTATTGGGTAATTAGACGCACCGGATTTAACGCTTGATATACAAAAATTCTGCTTTTAAACTTATAAATATTTAACGGATCAAAATATCAGAGGTATCCCTGTCTAAAACAGCCATAAAAGATGGGGTGTCTGTGTGTATTTTTTTGTCCCTTGATGGGTTTTTCTCACCATTTCAAGGTCTATAATCAAAAGTGTTTGATTTACAATAAATATATTACAAAAATACCAAAAAGGAAAAAAACATTATATTGAACATTATAAAGTTTTACAACAAAAATGAACTACATGTAGCTACAATTAAAATGGCGACACAATGACGATTTAAGCGAACAAAGTATCAAAAAGGTGAAATATTGGCCTTTTTTGAAATGCAAGAAATACACATTTTCAAAATGGCCGAATTGGTCATTAATTTTAAAACTGGACTATTACGCGATCGATTTTACAAAACATCGATACAAATAAAACATAGACAAAAGCAAACTAAAGAACAGCTTAACAATATGTGGTTCAAGGCGAGAAACCCGGTCGAGGCTCGCTGGATTTGTACACTCGGAACACTGTTGTTGATTACAGTTGTATGGCTACTTCATATTTCTTATTCTTTCATAAAAGCCCCTGAAGGTATACATTTCCTTTTAGAAATGTTAAAGCTATAATCTTTCCAATAAAAGTTTCCAATACGCTGCTTTATTGTCTTGTAGTGGTACATGGATCCTCAAATACACCATTTATGGAAAATCACCAACACTGCCGAACATATGGAACACATCAGATATGGACAACACAACACTTTTGAACTGAAACACATCAACTATTGACAATCATGAACTTTCCGAGATTGTTATACACACGAAACGTAGACAGCAGGACCATTACCGAACAAGTTAAACCCACATATGTACATGTATGCTCCTTCAACTCAAAGATAACCCAACAGCAAATTAAAGTTGAAAATGGCCACCGAAGGTGACATTTAATGACAAATTATTACATGACATACATTTTATCACAAGTTAATTTGCATAATCTAGATTACAAAATGTACATCAAAACACACTGTTTTGCTAATTATCTAATGATGACCTTTAGCCATAGTGGGGTTGTAAAAATCCGCCAAAAATGAAGAAATGAAATTTTTTAGAAGGGTGGAAAGAGGGTGGGTTTAAATTTGATCCCGTAAACTGCTGTATAAGATCCTGCTTATCTATTTATAAGGTAAATAAAGTTCTCTCGTGGAGGCTGAACGCAAACTTTTTTCTGCTTAAGCTGGATGTGACGCTACAAAGTGCGCATGCGTGTCAAGATTGTTCCCTAATATGGCTTGACCAATCAAATTAGAGGAAAAGTTTCTCATCCGATTATATAAAATAATTTGAATTTGAAATGCCTACTTTTTAATATAAAATCATACAAATATAATTTAAAAATTAATTCCCTAATGATTTGGGAGTATAAACATGAACTGAGATCAATAGGTTTCTTTGAGTTTTTTAAGGCACAAATTAAGCTAATAAATTAGCTACCTTTTACCTAACGTACCAAAAAGGTAAGAAGTAACAAACACTAAGCATAAAAACATTTTCCTAAAAAGAACGCAAACTAATACAAACCACAACGAACAACCACGGACACTACCAAACGGGTCAGACACAACAAAACAGGACAACCACGGACATTACCAAACAGCTCAGATACAACACAAAATAGACAGCCACTGACTATAACGAACAGGTCAGACACAACAAAACAGGACAACCACGAACAATACCAAACAGGTCAGATACAACAAAACAGGACAACCACGAACACTACCGAACAGGTCAGATACAACATAAACGGACAACGACGAACACTACCAAACAGGTCAGACAGAGCAAAAAAAGACAACCACGAACACTACCAAGCAGGTCAGACAGAACAAAACAGGACAACCACAGACACTACCAAACAGGTCAGACACATTAAAACAGGATAACCACGAATACTACCAAACAGGTCAAACACAACAAAAAAGGACAAACAAGAACACTACTAAACAGTTCAGATACAACAAAAAATAGACAACCACTGACTGTACCGAACAGTAGAGACACAACATATAAGTACAACCACGTACACTACCAAGCAGGTCAGATACAACACAAAATAGACAACCACTGACTATAACGAA